AGGAACAGTATATGCTGAAGTTACTTTGCTTTTAAAATTAGATGTGAAAATCAAAAGGGCAAAATAAATCACGAAATATCTAAAATGTATAATGTATCCCATTCAATGGAGTTTATCTTAGGACTATGAGTTTGATTTTACACTAGAGAAAACCTATTAGTGTAATCCATTCTTTTTAAGGAATCATATGATTGCCTTAGTAAATACATCTGAATTTTTGATAAAGCTTAGTATACCCAAAGAATATTTCTTAACAGGAGAATGGAACGTTCTGTCTAATTTTATAACATAGCCAGCATTACTTATTAAATATTATTACTTATTTTCTGGAAGTCATACTCTGTGTTACAACCCAAAACTAAAGATAAATTCATCAACAATGAGAAAGGAAGTAATAAATCACACATTATGTGTTTATGACATAATTTTCATAGAGAACACCAAAAAGGACTAGTACATAATTAGTGAGTTCTTAGAATTAGGTGGTAGAAAAAATTGATTTGTATACCTTATGGCAGTGATGAATAATTGAATATTTTATATTTAAATATTTCATATTAACATTCACCAGAAATTTGAAAATTGCCATAGTCTCTTCAAGTGGTCTTTCACTAAATTTTCCTTTTTGCTGGAAGACCCGCATCCACTCAGGTTCTCCTGGTCCTGATGCGGACTGAGGAACTGACATAAGACAATCTATTTAGATTTTGCAGAGTTTATATGACATTTGGGACAGGGCGATTTACAAAAGACAGGTTCTTATAAGCTTTTCCTTCTCCATATTTGAAATGCATGTGCCATCCATCCCTGCCCGGTCTCTCTGGCCTGGCATGCACCTGTGCTCAATGTGGTGGTAGCTCCACCACTTTGTCCCCTGATCCCAGTGCCTGTCACCCCACGGAGGAGCCCCAAGAGGGGAAGGACATTCACCCTGCTATGCCTTTCACTGGGCTCTATTTCAAAAATGGCGACCACCCTTCATGGCTGCGCTGGAAAGTCCATACTCAAACATGAGTCCAGTGTCTTCCCAACAGCCACACAAAATGGTGAGAAAGTGGCCTCGTGCTTGTCCTGGCTTATATCTCCATAGCCCCATCCTTAATGGGCTTGACTCCTTCCTCGGAGTGTGGGAAAGAGGTAGGACCATGTCTTATAAGCACTGGAAATTTATTTCTCATAGCCCTAGTTATGCGAATGCAAGGTCAAGAAGTCACAGTACTCTGCAAGGGCCTGCTTCCTCTCAGAAGGCTTCTTGAAGCCCTGTCTTGTATGTGTCGAGAAAGTCTAAACCTCTCTCTGGCCTCCTATAAGTGTGCTGATACTGCTATTCTTGAGTACTCTCCACTTGTGACCTAAGCACTCCCCCAAACCCTACCTCCTCACTTTGGGATAGATTTAGTGGTTGAGTGTGTTAGACATTCAGACAACATGATATTAAACATTAATGTCATTGTATGTAAAGATGGTATAGCATCCCAAATTGAACTTTACTCTCAATGTAAATTTCACATTGTCACAACCTTGACATTGGAATGAAAAAGCTTATTTCAATGCTAATGTGTTACTTTTTTTTCTCCTCCCTGTGATCAAATACATGACAGAAGCAAATTAAAATAGAAATTAATTTTGACTCAAATTCCATAAACTGCAATCTAGTCTGTGGTGGTTGGGGCAGTAGCTAGAGGCTTGGCTTGTTCACTTGCTGCTGGGTAAAGAGTCAGAGTGTTATGCTTTAACCGGTGTGGAATTGTGAGCTTCAAGCCCATAGTAAGTGGCCTATGCCCTCTCACTAGGACCAAGCTCCAAAAATTCCATAATCTCCCAAAAGTTCAGCACCGCCGAAACCTACTTAGGTTCAAACACGTGAACCTACTTAGGTTCAAACACGTGAACCTGTGGGGGACTTTTCATCCCCAAACTGTAGCATGTAATGTGGAAGGGGAAAAAAAGCAGAATTATGATGGTCTCAGAGAGGAGCTAGCAAGAGCTGTGACACTGGGTCCAGAAGACTAGTGGAGTTGACTTGATGCCTCAGGCAAACCCGTAAACAAGCTGCAGCTCACACAAGGCAGAGTTGGCATTGATGTCAGTGGGGTTATTTGACAAGATGTATCAGGACAGTTGTTCACATGAAAAAAAAAAAAAAAGAACTCAGCATCTGATCTTGCATCATGCTTGCCCACCCTCCTGCTCACCTACCCACTTTCCTCTCTCGCCATATAAAAACTAACACTTTAAAACACATAGGAAAAAGTAAGAACAACTTCATGCCCTCAGGTTTAGGAAGGCTTATTAAGTATATCAGAAAATGTGTAAACTACGTGTTAGATTGCTCCTCACCCCGGAGGTGCGAGATTTTGTTAATCATCAGAAATCTCACCCAAAATGCAGAGAAGCCAGACATCTGGAGGATTTACACACCATACTTAAGATTTGTACTTATGATTTAAAAAGAGCTGTCCAGAACTTTAAAAAAAAACTTGTATAAATATAGGAAAATGGAAAAAAAATTAGAAAATTTAGAGAGCTAAGTAATTCAGGAACAACATCCTCATCAGTCTTCATGGAAACATCAATTAAAATTACAGGATAAAATTTCCCAGTGGTTGACCAGCAGAAACTAGATATACTGGTAGTGAGATAGTCTAAAGCAATATTAGCAATACAAAAGCTTTGGAAACTCATGAAATAGATCTGGCAAGTACATGATTTTGTTTCTGAGTTAAGACATAATGAAGTACATTTTTACTTATACTTTATTGGCAGAAAAAATAATGCATATAACATAACTCCTAGAGTAAGTAGAGATTATGAAATTAAGAGCTCTTATTTACAACTGTCAGGAGAATGATCAAAAGCCTTATTTAAAAGCATTGTGACCTTTTCTACTTGGTGTATAGGTGCACTCTATAGGTCGATAGTTCCTAGCCTACAGAAACACATCTATATTGGATTATGAAGATATGCAAATAAAAATGTTGACTGCACCACTGTTTCTAATAACGAAAATATGGACGAACATTTAAAACACTTATCTCAGGAGAGCTGGTGAAAAATCTGAAGGGATTTCAGAAAGCAATGCTCATTTAAAAATAAAAGCTGGTCACAAAACAGTCAATGTAAAAGTTTTCGAATATACAACAACAGAATATATACAATTAAAGGGCAAATGGTCATATATATATATATATATATATGTATAATAGAAATCTAGAAATCTAGTAGAGGGAGACCAAAAATAATGTTACTATTGACTGGTCAAAGTCAATATTGAAAGGGGAGGAAAGTAAAGAGGTGACGGAAAGTAACTTCAAAACTGTATGGAAGAGGATTGGGGGAATGGCTCAAGGTTTAGAGCGCTGGCTGCTCTTGCAGAGGACCCGGGATTGGTTCCTAACACCCACATTGGGCAGCTCAAAACTACCTGTAAGTCTAGTTCCAGGGGCTCTAATCCCCTCTTCTGGCCTCCATGAACATTGTATGCATGTGGCATACATACAGACAAGCAAGCATATACATATACTCATAAAGAAAAGTAAATGAAACTTAATTCATATACAAAAGAAGGCTGGGAAATTGGCTTGGTTGATAAATTACTTCCCTTAGAATTAGGAAAATCAGTTTGGATCATCAGAACTGTGTAACATTTGGCAAGGCGTGGTAACCTACCTGCAATCCCAGGACTCAGGAATGAGAGATGGGTGAGCCCTGGGAATGGGCTGGCTCCTGTGCTGAACTGTGATCAGAGAGCAAGCTCCAAGTTCAGAGTGAGACCCCACCTCAGTAAATAAATGATTGAGGAAGATACCTGACCTCAACTTCAAGTCCACACACACATACACACACACACACACACACACACACACACACACACATCTACATGCATGCATAGCACTCACACATAAAAGAAAACATAGAAAAGAAAGAGGGAATGGTTCATCACTGCGTGTTCTCACACACGCAACCTGCGTCCACAGACCTACGTTGAGTCTTCACTGTTGTTCCATATACTGTGTAAAGAGCAAAGCAACAATGTTAAAAGAATCACTTAGATAATAGCCTGGAAAGTGATGAGAAGTATAGACAGTACGTTTTTCATTGCACTCACAACAGGAAAAAAAAGATTAAATTAAATTAAATTGCTTTATTGAATGCCATGCTGCTGTGTTGTAGCTTTTCATTTGGTCTATATTCCATAAGATGTCATAGGAAAAACTAAGCAATATCATTGGAGAAGTTTTTAATAGAGGAGTAAATACGCAAATTACAGAAAGTACAATACAGTGCTGTTTAAGTGCTAATGGTTTGGCAATCTGTGTTTATAATTGCTATGACATTCTGCTTCCTTGAACTTTATTTTGCTTATAACGTCACGTGATATAGTATGGAAATTGTACTGAACGTTCTCTACTGTTTTGAATATAGAAGCTTCAGATCAATCGATATTTTCATATGGCATTATATTAACCCTGATGCAGAACCATTGATGCTAGGCTTGGAACTGAGATGTCCATGGTTTATGTCAATGCTGGTAGAATAATCAGAAGTCATAAAAGAATTGCTATGCATCCCTTACTCTTCACAATCCCACTTAAAATCTTAATCCAGCCTGCTATGACTTAGGGCTTTGCAAGCACATCATCTCCATCACACTCTAAGTTTCTTGAGGTAGGACCTTGTCACATTTGCCTTTCAATATCCCACAACATCTATTAACAATTGATCAGTGTTATAGTTAACAGTCTCTTCAGAGCAAAGACTTCCTCTACTTTTTTTTTAAACATGCTTTTAAATTTTCAGAAATTTGGTCCAATTCTCTAAAAGTCTGTGCAAGCACATCATCTCCATCACACTCTAAGTTTCTTGAGGTAGGACCTTGTCACATTTGCCTTTCAATATCCCACAACATCTATTAACAATTGATCAGTGTTATAGTTAACAGTCTCTTCAGAGCAAAGACTTCCTCTACTTTTTTTTTAAACATGCTTTTAAATTTTCAGAAATTTGGTCCAATTCTCTAAAAGTGAAGATGACATGGAAATTTTAAAGAAGATTAAGACTCACTGGACTGCGCTGGGACTGGAAGATGTACAGTTTGCAAATTACTCGGTGCTGCTGGATCTACCTGGGCCTTCTCCAGGCACCGTGACCGTGAGCGGCAGTGGCCAGTGCTTTTATCCTGATGGCCAGCCTTGTGGGGGAGAATCCAGCAAAGGCCATGGCCAGGAACTGTTCTTCTCATACGCAGCCTATTCTGCCAAAGGAACTCTCGAGGTAATTTGACCGTTTGTCTCTGTCATTTCCAGTGAAATGCAATTAGAAAACAACAGCTTTCATCTAAATTGAACTAACTGGCAAGATGCAGCATGCAAAAGTAGCCGTCAAAAATACTCAGTGTGGCCGTGCTGGGAGAAGCAGGAAAGAGAGGGAGTTGCCTGGCCCTTTACTTGTCAAAATTTGAAAGTGAAAACACGTTAGAAGAATTTAATTCAAAGGTGTTGAAGGTATGACTGAGCTTTTCACATTTTCCTCCGTTCATACGGTTCAAGCGAATTTCATTTATGGTTTTGAAGAGGCGAATTTGAATATGTTGATAGGTAGAGAAAGAATAGAAATGGAAAGGATTGTGTTTTGAGGTTGTTTATGCACATGGGGGATGAGGAGGAAAATTGATGTGATTATCCACACAGTTAGGATTTGAAATGCAGCAGGCCTGTCTTCCTGATAGAAAACACGGGTGACAGGGAGCGCGTGTGAATGATTCCTAAACCTTTCTGGGTTAGTTGGCTTCAGTGCTGTGTTTTGGCACCTTGGTTAACAGCAAACCTTTTAGAGCCATGTGCCTGAGTCAAATCTCAGCTCTACAGCTGCCCACTGTTACCTAGCCACAGGTCCTTAGCTTCCTTACCTCTGTGACGGGATCAGCACGGTTCCAACTCCTAAGGTCATTGTGAGAGTGAAAATAATTAATGAACATGATCCTCGGAAATGAGGGGACTGCCCAGAGTGAGGACAATATGCAAAGTAGATACAAACAGCCAATTTTCTGTCTCAATATAAAGTGCAATTTTAGCAAACATGTTTAGTCTTTTTTATGAAATTGCAATTTGTCTAATTGAAGACAGATGGGTGATATTATGTTTCTGACTATGGTTTATGGTATACATTTTTGAATGCTTTAAAATTATTAACTGTAATCAAAACATGAAACTTTTAAACCACTTAAAGTTACTGTGCAGAATGACTTAACAATAGAGTAGCAAATGTCTGTTCCTATTAATAGTACGTTTCTCCTTTTGGGGGCTGAGGAGCTGAGGAGATGCAGGTGCAGTAGAAATCCATCACGCTTCTGGTCTGTGTTACTTCCTAATTTGACTTTCACAGAACTGTATATAACCAACACAGATTTGAAGAGTTTTTCTATCAATTAGATTTTAATCTAATGTTAAGTTTCTGAAATATTTCTGGTATAGAAATCATCCTTTGATTAATAACATCTAATTTTCTGGCAGAAAATAATGGAAATATGTCTGTATATTAATTGAAATGTAAGGGAAGAGGCAGCATGCTTACCTTCGCTCCAGAGCTGTGGACTCAGCCCCAGGTTTGGAAAACTCTTGCAGCTTTTCTGTCTTGAACTCCTGATTCTCAAAACCTTCACACAGTTCCTCTCTCCTCTGACTCCAATTTGACCCTTAGTCCAGCCACATCATTTCTAGAGCAAAGCAAGCTCTAAACAGACCAGCACAAAAGTACTGGGAGTTTTTGTAAGTCTTTGGAATCATTCATTTTTATTTGTTTTTTAGTTTCTCCTGGAAAACTAATAATTTTTTGACCACATTGTTAAGGAAAAGCTATACTCCCTTAGCCTGGTCCTCTGTGGTAACTTGTTGGCCTATTGGATTACAATTAGAGACTGAAAAATTCCATAGATCTGATTTCATATTTCTTAGTGTTTGTATATATTTATCACTGACAAATGTTATTTTTTTCCTGTGTTCCCTATCATAAAACCAAGCCTTCCCACATTTTATGGAGTTATGTAAAGGTCTATGAAGTTTATCTTGGACCATTCCACCACTGGTAAATGGTTTAACAAAACTGCCATTTTTAAGGAAAAAGAACTTTTAAAGGAAGATTAAGAAAGCAATTATTATAAAGAAACCTTTCAGAACTTCACACATAAACATTATATTTATATCATTTCTACAGTGTTAGTTCTGGAGGAGTGTAAGGATAAATATGAGTGAGATGAGTAGTGGTTAAGAATGTGTGTTAATCTTGACTACGTGTCTTCCTTCTTTAAGTAAAGAGAATGTGTTTACAAATTACTTGCATAATTTAAAAAACCCAGTAATGAAAAGTAATGGTTAACATACTCAACAAGAAGTAAATACAAGTATAAGCATAAATTAATAAAAGGAAATATTAAACTCTATATGAGTTTAGATATGGAAACATACTCCTTTGAAATATTTAGCTTAAACAGCAGGGATAGTTAAGGAAACTAAATGCAATTATGGATAGTAATTTGAGAAAATAAGACATGGAAATTAGATGAAGACACTAAAAATAACTATTTTAATACCTCAATTAGTAATGTAAATCTATTACACAAAGTACGTGAGTGTCTATATGAAGAAAGTAGGTACCAGTGACATTGATTTTTTTAAGCTCAAACTGTCATTATTGTTTTCAAATGTATAGCAATTTCTTGCTGTTATATGTACATGCAGAACACAGGCATAAACTTTACACACATTTTAAGGAGATATTATTACATTGAAACTCATATTTTAGCCAATAAGTAAATGATGATTTTATGTATCTTAGACCACTCCCTAATTTTAATCAAACCTGAGTGTCTCCTGCTGATGATTCGGGCCTAACTCCTCTCTAATTTTGAATATATTTGGTTTTCATGAATTTCTAACAGGCAGCTCCATTAACAAATTCTTAAATAATTCTATTCTGCCTGCAGAAAACGCTCCCGAAACTCCTGCTTTTGACACGGTTGTGTGCAGAGGAATGCCCCCTTTTGGTTGAAGGGCAATCCTGCCTGTTCATTATAGGCTCAGTGTGTACAATCTTCCAATTTGTGCTTCCTGGTAGCAGTCTAAACAGCATTCGTGATGTCTGAGATCTACTTTGAAAACCTACTTAGTGCCAGCATGACGGATGGTGTGTCTGCAACGCCCTTGTAATTCATTATGCACTAGAAAGGTGGTGCTGTGTGCCCCGGCATAACCGCACGTGCTTCAGTAAAAGGGTCCTAAGGAGAGTTTTCCTGTCAGGTGAAGAAAGCGTATTAAAATGGACACATAAATAATTTAGCACTTGTGAATCTAGCATTAGAGGATAAAAGCATATTTATGTTTTATTAAAATATAAATATTAACCATAATATCATCACTGGGGTAGAGACACTGGTGGTGAGTGCAGACCATATCTAATCAATTTTATACATAGTATGTATGTCTTTTAGGTCATTCCTGTGCAATCACCCCTTCTGTCCTCTGTGACAGAAACAAACAAGGCTGCAGTTAATATTTAGCAGGTGTTGGTTCCGCTATGTTCTAATTTTGAGGCAGGGGATTTGTTGACAGTCCTACATGTTTTGGTGCTGTGGGTTGCTTTCATTCTGTAAAGTTTTAATTTTTGCCCAAGAGACAAGATGGGAATGATATGCAGAAATTTGTTTTCAACAACACATTAACTTTGCATAAGATATATTGCTATTACCATTTTATCACTACCTTACTTCGAAGACAGCAGTATTCAAAACCCTGTCTCACACCTGCTCAAACAAGGAGTCACTTTAACCTTCTAACCTTTATTTATAAATTTATGTATATCTATTTATTTATTATTTATTTATAGTTGTATGTGTATGAGTGTTTTGAGTGCATGTATATAAGGGCACAAATTCATGCAATGCCCATGGCAGCCAGAAGTGGCCATTGGATCTCCTAAACTGGACTTACAATCGGTTGGTTGTTAGTCATCATGCTGGTGCTGGGAACCAGCCCTGGTCCTCTGCTAGAGCAACGAGTGCTCTTAGCTGCTGAGCCATCTCCCCAGCCCTGGTCTTCTAGCCTTCAGTATCTTCATCTTTTTAATGGGAAAAATGCCAGTTACCCAGACGATTGTTGTGGGGAAGTAAAGATGAAAACTGTATAAAGTTCTGGTCTTGGGAAGAATTCAGTAAATGTAACCAATTATTTTTTTTCAGAAAGTAGAAATATTTAAATGAAGAAGTTGATGGTTCTGGAGTGAGGGAGAATCTGTTTTTTCCAGAGACAAGTCCCTGATAGGTTAATCAATTCCAACTGGCTGGCCCTACACACATGTATGTATGAGTCATACCAAATGGCCCCAGTAGGTTTTATGTATAAATAATGTTTTGGTGCTCTGGGCTCCTTTCCTTCTGTGAAGTTTTAATTTTTGCTTAAGAGACAAGACAGGAATGATATGCAGAAATTTGTTTTCAACAACACATTAACCTTGCAAAAGATATATTGCATATATATATATATATCACAAATGTCTGTATATTATAACAATAATAATTAAAGAACAAGTCACAAAATTTAAAGATAGAGAGGATGTGAGGGAATGTGGGTGGGAGAAGGGGTTTGGAAATTATGGAAATACAATACTCATGTGAAATTCTCAAGAAATAAAAAATTAAATTATTAAAAATAAAATGTCAAAGCCACATATCAAAATTTGGAAATACAAACTTTTATCACATTAATTATTTTGTGTGAATATAATCTCTGTCTTCTGATCACCATGACAAATATTACTCACTGGAGAAGAAAAAGCTTTGACAAGTATGAATAAGAATAAAATATACACGACACCCTGATAGTGATTTTTTAAATTAAGTTGAAGACTGAAAGAATTCTGAATTGAAATGCTGTATTCAAGAATACAGAATGATCAATCATGTCAATTTGGGCCTGACAGGATGGCTTATTTTTATGTATAAAATATCAAGACAAAGTAGTTTAACGTGTGAAATCTGAACACCATGTCAAATATTTTGTTGGAAAGTCTTACAGAGGGAAAAGACTCACTACCATAATGTCTGAGTGACTCAGTCTGTCATCTTCCTCATGGCTGGGGAAGAAAAGACAAGGCCAGAATTGGCACAGGAGAGAGGTAAATGCACTTGGTCTGACTTTTTCTTGTAGATAAAAACAGAAATCTAGGTGACTACGGCAGAAATGCATTACTTAAATGCTGGGTGTGTGGGGTTGAAGAAGAAG